GCACCTCTCCTCCCATCCTTTCAGCAAACTAATGTTTAGGAGTTGTTGAGATTAACGCTCAACCGTTGGAGGTAATTTGTGTTCATGGCCCCGAAGAGGAGCTCATTTGGATCATTGGGAGGGACTGAGCTTGTGAGATGGGGCGTAAGCGTCGTTCCTCATGTAAATGTCGCAAGCAGCGTGGAAAGAGATCGTCGCCAGTTTGGCGTAGGCAGCAGCTTGATGCTACCTCCATGGGTGATCAGGTTCGAATGGAAGAATGGCGGGAGAAACAGGCTGACCAGGAACGACAACAACACCAGCAACAGGAGCAGGAATGTGATCGTAAAATAATAAGTGATTTCCAGAAACTGGCACAACAAGAAGTAATACGAGTCTTTACTAGTCTTTTCGACAGTGCTTTATCCAGCTACAAGGCAGCCATAGAAAGGATGAATGAAAGAAAAAGTAAGAGTTGCAAATGGAAATCTAAAATATAATATTGAATGTCAAATGTTGTTTTCCATCGTCTAGGCGAAGGATTGCACCGACTAGGAGAGTACAAGGAAGAATTAATTTCATATCGCATTCGGATTGATAATTTGCATCTGCAAGAGGCACTAAGTAGAATTACCCTCAGAGAAGATGAGCACGAACTGAGGCACTTCTTGGATAGGTTCAAGAGTGAGGACCTGATTGGCGTTGATCTACTGTATCGAAGAGATCCCAGAGACTCTGAAAATAAGGACTCCGATGTGGATGTGGGGGATCCACATGAGGAGACTGAGGCGAGGCGTTCAAATGGGAAAGACTCAGATACCGAGGATGATGATGGAGATGCAGAGAAGGGGATAGCGGATAGGGGAGTCGAGTATGCAAGTTCAGACAGCACAAGTACAATTGCAGGGATGGAGAGTCGATATGGGCTGGTGAGAGGATCTGACTCGGAGACCGAGGATTTAAGTACAGACAAAGAAAGTGTGGATTTGGCGGTGGAGGATAGAGGTAAAGCAGTAGAAGGCTCTAATACGAAGACGGAGGCTCAAAGTACAGACACGGAAAGTACGATTCCGGCGGTGGAGGATAGGGATGCATCAGAGGAAGAAGGTGATGTGAAGACCGAGACTCCAAGTACAGACACGGAAAGCACGATTCCGGC